TAAATTTGGACTTCCTCAAAGTTGAAAACTTTTGTGCTTCAAAGGATATCATCAAAAATAAGAAAAGAGAATGCACAGACAGGGAGCACATTTCTGCAAACCATCAGTCTGATGATAGAAATTAATTTCCAAGATATATAAAGAATTCTTGCAATCCAACGATAAAAACACAACGTATTTGAAAATGGGCCAAGGATCTAAGAAGACATTTCTACCAAGAACATGTACCAATGGCTGATAAGTACAGGAAATAATGCTGCGCCTCATTCCAGGGTACAGAAATGCCAATCGGAATCGCAAGGGGATGTCACTTCACAGCTACGGGGATGATGTAAAGAAAGAAGGAGAAAAAGAAGAAGAACTAGTATTGTGGAGGATATGGGGAGACCAGAGTCTGGAACTCTGCTGGTAGGAATGTGAATGGTCAGCTGTCATGGTGGCTGTCCCTCAAGAAGTTACCCAGGCTGGTGGCTCACACCTGTAATCCCAGTGGCTCAGGAGGCTGAAGCAGGAGGATCACAGGTTTGAGGCCAGCCTCAATAAGTTAGCGAGGCCCTAAACAACTCAGTGAGACCCTGTCTCTAAATAAAATAGAAAAAGGGCTGGGGAAGGGCTGGGGCTGGGGCTGGAGCTCAGTGGTAGAGTGCTTGCTTAGCATGTGTAGGGCACTGGGTCTGATCTTCAGCCCTACATAAAAAAAATAAATAAAAGAAAGGTATTGTGTCTACCTACAACTAAAAAGAAAAAAAAATAGAGGGTTGGGATGTGGCTCAGTGGTTGAGCACTCTGGGCTCAACCCTGGTACTAAATAAATTAGTAAGTAAGTAAGTAAATAAATAAGCCGGGCACAGAAGCCCGCGGACTGGGATTCCACTTTAGGGCACCCGAAGGCAGCTCCAGAGGCAGAGAGCAGGTTGTGGTGTCTGGGCCTGGGGGAGGGGGGAAGGGAAGGGGTGATGAACAAAGTCTAGAATGAGCCTGGTGGGGGCTGCAAAGCTCCACCACACGCTGGACCCCCCCCCCCCAGTCGTACATCCTGCAGGAGTGAACCTCAGGGTGTGTCCTGTCTCATTTTTGGACCAGGGTCAGAGGAGTGGGATGGCCCTGTGGGGTGGCCTTGCTCTTCCCGGTGCAGGAGGAGGCATGGCCCTGGCCTGGGGAGGCCACAGCCTGGAAGGGGACGTGACTCTGCAGCCGGCACCTCCATGAGTGAGTCACACCAGCTTGGGGCTGGAGCGGGGTTCTTTGTGGCAGGAACACTGTGCTGTTGACCCCTGCAGGGGACCAGAGGTGAGGGCGGTGGAGGTGCAGCCCGGGGAAGGGCACCAGGTCTGGTGGCCATGTGGATGGGAAGGAGGGTGCTGGCCTCCCAGAGCTACTGAGGGATGAGTAGCGTCCGGGAGGCAGAGGCCACAGGAGGGGCCAGGCCTTCATAGGGCACCAGGGAATCTGTGGGCCCCGAGCTGCAGGACTTGTGGCTGGGGCAGGACAGGGACAGTGGGGAGAGGAGGCCATCAGGATGGCATGGAGGTGACTGAGGGAAGCGTGGATCCAGGCTGGGAAGAGAGATGGAGAGGAGGGCGGCCCAGGCCCACAGAGGCCCGCGGATGATGGGGACAGTGACATGCTGAGGTCACTCCATGCAGGCAGGATCTCAGCAGGACGCTCCTCCAGACACCTCCACTCGCTCATCCGCCTCTCAACTTACCTCAGTGTGGTGCTGCAGCCAAAGACTCAGCATCCACTGAGCACCACTGTGTACCCAGCACTGCGCGAGCATGCTCTTAGGCAATCACGTCCTGCAGGCTCAGGGGCAGCCCTGCAGGGGTAAGCTGGGGCTCTTTCTGGGATCCTCGGAGCCTGTCCTCACAGGCTGCTCTTGACTTCTGGGCTCTTTTCAGAACAGCTACAGAGTCATCGTCACCCAAGGTCACTCCCTGTTTGTCATGTGTTACCCTCCACCCGGCAGTTTTTCCTGGGCTGTGAATTAAGAAAATCACATTTGGAAGAAAAATGATACATTTCTTTGTTTATTATAATACATATATAATGTTTATAGAATCTCATATGGGTGCACCTGTGATGTTTCTCTTTCTAGAATGTTTGCCTCTTAGGCTCCCAGGATGCATATACATCACGTGCGCACGCACACACGCACAGAGGCACTTCTACTTAGCTGCTGCTGGGGTAGGTCTGACTTATGGCCCTTGTTACCAAAGCAATTAGAGCATCAGGCCCTTCCTAACTGTCAGGAGAGGACAGGAACCTCTGGCCTGTGGCCAGCTCAGCTCTCGGGCTGTGGGACACTGAGCAGGTGCCACCTGGGCAGATGAGCCACAGAGCTGACAGAGGGGTCCAGACCCCCTGCCACCTGGGGGCAGTCCCATGTCCTCACACACTCTGTCCCTCCCTGCCAGCCTTCCCTGTGCCTGCAGCTCTGGGCTTCGACCTGTCCAATCCGGAGGGCAGGGCTGTCCTTGCTGGGTGGCTGTGTGAGCAGTCAGGAGGTGGGCAGGGTGGCCGAGTGCTGGCTCAGTGGCTGGCCTTGCCAGGTGTGGCCAAGGTGGATGTCACAGTGTCCCTGGGGCCACCAGGCTGGAGGGGAGAAGCATGAAGTGGGTTATGTCGCCACCTATTGCCTGATTTGCTCAGTGAAAGTCAGCTGGTTCCTCTCTGCCTGTGTCCATAAGGAAGGGGGCGCAAATTCTCTTTTTGGAAGACAGAAATGAACCATCAGTGGAGAGGGACAGGAGGGCCTCGACCTAGTGGCTGCCTCAGCTGTATCAGGGTCACCTGGGGGTCATCTGGGACAAGCCCGTCCTTCCCTGAATGATTGTGGAGATTCCCTATAGGGAGGCTGGGTGACGCAGGTCCCAGGAGGGGCTGTGCCCCAGACCACGGGGAGGACAGAGGCCCTGTGTAGACAGGGTCCCTGCCACTCTGAGAGGTTGGAAGGGCAGCCACCGAGGACCTGCGGGGAAGGCAAGTTGCCTCTGCTCTGGCCCTTTCTGCCCTTGGCATGTGCAGAGCGGTCAGTGGCCAACCAGCGCCACACGGAGGGGAGGCCATGCAAGGCCTGCGCCTCGCGGTCATCACTGGACATCATGTCGTCCCTGAGGTCACAGGGAGGCTGCACGAAGCCCAATGAGCATACTCCAACAGGAAGAGCACGTGGTGCCCATGGAGCGCCTGCCCTTGGACAGAGAGTGGGGTGCGCAGGAGGAGCTGCCAGGCGCAGAGTGGGGGTGGGGAACACCCCAGGATAGGGTGGGAGTGGCCACACCCTGGACGCCTCAGGATGGAAAGGGGCTCAAGCCTTGGGACCCACGCAGGCAAGAGGTGGTGTGCGGAGACTGACCGGCCAGTGCCACCGAAACTTCTGTGATGCCCACCTGAGTGGGAGCCCTGCTCCGGTGCAAAGGGTTCCTTCTTCAGAGACCACGCGTCCCTGGCAGAGATGCCAGGCAGTGTTGTCCCACTCAGGCTCGCCTTCGGGCTGGTGTCCCTGTAGTGTGACCTCACCTGAGCCCAAGGACCAGGTGCACCTGTCCCTGCAGGCCATCCTACCTGGCCTGTGCTGGGGCCACCTGCTTTCCCTCTGGGTTTTGAACTACACTGATGCTGGGGGCAGACGCCGAGCAGCAGAGACATCCTGGGGGAACCTTAGGACACGCCTCACCTCGGGGGCCTGTGGGGGGTGTGGCTGAGCAGCAGCTCTGCAGGGAATGGCGAGAGCGTGGTGGAGAGTGGCCTGGCAACAACCTGGACCTCTGTCGTATTCTTAAAAGCCAGCGTGTTCAGAGGACTGAGTCGAAGCTCCCTTGGGAGGCCTCTCAGGTGTCCGGTGCTCTACCACATCCCAGCCGCGGGGAATGTCCGTCGAGTCCAGCAGTGTAAATGCTTTCGAAGGTCAGGGTCCCCAAAGGGGCACTAAAGAGTGCGTCTCAAGCTTCCAGCATTTCTAAACTGCCCAAAGCTTCCAGAGTCGCCTGTGGGGCCACGCTCATGGGGCGCTGCTCTGACATAGGGCAGCTCTAAGATGGAGCTGGCCGGGCGGCACACGTCTGTGGTCCCAGCTATCCGGGAGGCTGCGGTAGGACCACTCGAGCCTGGAGCTCAAGACCACCTGGGTGACGTAGGGGACCCCGTAGCAAAGCCACCACTGAGGCAGAGATCGACGAAGGCTCAGGTGCAGAGACTACCCCAGCACCACTCAGCTGGCAGGGCTCTTACAAAGGCCACTTGGCTGTGTGACCAAGTACGAAGGCCAGAGGGGCAGACGGCCATGCTAGGTGCTGCCCAGCTTGACAGAGCAGGCTGGGGTGAGCACGGGTCTGGCTGGGACGAGGTTCTAATGCAGATGAGGCCAGGCCATGGTCAAGGAGTGCAGCCTGGGACCTTCCCCAGGGTCCCCAGGGCTCTTGCGTGCAGCACCATCCTGTGGCTTCCACTCCAGCAGGGTGGGGGGAAGTGCCAGGAGTCCCTGGGAGCCTCTTGGCACCCTGGCACTGCCTGTCCCCCGTCTCCAGACACAGTCTACCTGGCCGGCTCCAGAGTGATGCGGTTTCTGCCAGGAAGTGCGGAGCTGGATGGTGCCGAGGGTGCTTCTTCACTGCAGAGAGCAATGTCTGAAATGCGGCCCGAGGGCAGCGTGTGTGCTGATGGGAATAGAGAACTGGGGGGAACTGAGAGGGAGGAGAGAGCGCCTGGGGGGGGGGGCACCCAGGTGTGACACTAAGGCCCAGCCAGAGAGGCCTAACCCAGGTGGTCAAAAAGAAGATTAATTAGCTTTGGTTTCTAATTAGTCTTGCAACAGTTCCTCCAGAGAGAGGTGTCAAGGGACCCCAACCCAAGTGCAAGCATTTCATTCTTAGGAGAATCGACGGTGGCGGTGGCCTTCAGAAATCACCCACCCCCCACCCCGGTCTCTGCAGTGGCCTCCCGGCGCCCTGGGGGGCTTCAGCAGTCGAGCTGCGCTGGCACCATTAATTCATACTGGATCCTGCCAGGACAAGGAAGCGTTTATTTATTTACAACAAAAACATTTGTAACATAATTCTCTTTTCAAAACAGAGAACCTAACAAAACACACAAAGCCATCTCTATTTGTATTTACCCAGGGACACGGCCAGCCGGAAGGGGCTGGGGCTGGAGAAGGGCCAAGGACCAACTCTACTGGAACAAAACAAGAAGCTGCCTTTCCAAAAGCAGCCGTTTCTACTTGTCCGGAGCTGCCATGCTCCACTGGCAGGAGCGGGCGCTGCGCTGGGCCCTGTGGAAGCCCAGGTCGCGGTGTGGCCGTCTTCAGCAGCCTCCCGGCGGTGACACCACTGTAGCCACCCTCCTCCTGAAGGGTCTAGGAAACAAATGCAGCAGTTAGACAGCTCCCAGCTGTGACTAACAGCCACAATGGGACACTCCCAGATGTCCCAGCCCATGTGTGGAGGGAGCTGGGACCAGGTCCTGTGTGAAGGACGCGCATGGCCGATGATGCCAGCTGGTCGAGAGGCAGGAGTCAGAAGCTCTCACTGTATAGCCCACCCGATGGCTCCAGAAACAGGTGCAGATGGACGGACACGGCGGCTCTGAAATCCCAGCTCAAGACCACAGGACCTAGGGGCCACGGTTGTGTAAGGCACTGGGTTCGGGCCGCACCACCACATTAAAATAAAGGTGTCTTATCCATCTACAGCTTAAAAAAAAAACACCACCACAGGACCGGCTTTCAGAAAACCAGGACAGCAAGGACCCCTGGAGGTCATCAGGTCAGTCTCTTCGTTGACCAGTGTTTGCTTTCTGCTGCGGTCAGGACTCATTAGTCTTTCTCAACCGCCCCCAGGAGCGCCACTTCCTGGCCCCACCTGAAGACCGATTCTGGGCAAGTCATGGTCCTTGGCTTCCTCCTCTATTAAGTGCAGGACCCCTGACCCCGTCTGGCAGCCTCGTGCAGGGCAGGCAAGTGAAACCCCAGCACACCTGAACTTCCCGGGTGCTGCTGCCCGCTCTCCCAGGTTGGGCCTCCCTGAGCCCTGGGGGCGCTGGTGCCCACAGCGCTGCTCCACCGCCCCTCCCTTCCCGCGCTGGTGCCTGGGCCCTGGCTTTGTGCTGGGGTGGGGCTGGGAAGTATGAAGAAAGTGCTGTCCTCCTTCCCTTCTCGCAGAAGGGCAGTTTCTGAGTGAGGAGATGAACCTGTTTGGGATGATTTCCCCCGCGCACTCACATTTATTTCCATCTTTAAAACATTTTGGGTACTGGGAATTGTACTTAGCACTGGGCTACACCCTCAGTCCTTTTTATTTTTCATTTTGAGACAGGGTTTGCTAAGTTGTTTAGGGCCTCGTTCGGTTGCCGAGGCTGGTCTTGAACTTGTGATCCTCCGCCTCCCAAGTCGCTGAGAGTTTCCATGTGGTTTCTCACTGAACTCCAGCATTCACGGAGGTCCCTGTGTTCAGTGCCATGCTCCTCTGGTCCTCCGTAGGGTAAGCTCCAGCTCCCACTAAGACTTTGTTGAAGGGCCTTCACAGTAGTTTATAAAATACACCCCAGTGAACAGAAATGTGCAAGTATCAAAGTCACCACCACCTTATGGATCTTTCTAGGGGGACAGAGAGATGAAGAGACAAACCCGTAACACACGCAAGGTGACAAATACACAGGACGTGGGATGCAGAGCAGCGTGGCTGCCACTGAATATAAAATAACCATAAAGACATCCTGGTGAGGGGGACGTAGCATCCTGGGCTTTGAGTAGTCAGAAGAGCTCGCTGGGCTATAGGAGCGTGAGGAGCACGCAGGCATGAGGAAGGCTTCAGGCTCTCTCTGGGCTCTCATGGAGAAAGCCGCTGTTGTAAGGCTCCCCCAGCAGCTCTGAGGACGACTGGCTGCTGGGGCACTGAGCAGGAGCGTGGGGAGCGGCTCAGTGACGGCCTCACCCAGCTCACAACAGCACACTAAGGAGCCAGGCCCACTGAGCCCTGCACAAATTGCTAACTTACAAAATCACGAGAGAGAATAAAATGGAAGTTTTAAGTCACTAAATTTTGGGGTAGGCAACTACATGGCAACAGATCAACAGGACGGGGGAAATGAAGGCAAGAACACTCTAGTAAAGGTCTTCATGTCATATGGGAGATGGAGTCACATTTTCTGAAGTCAGACTGTGCAAAGTTAAAGATGTCTATCGTAAAAAATAGTCTCATATTGTTAATTCTGGAGCAACACTAAACACACCCATAATGCTATAGTTAATAAGCAACATAAAAAAATGGAATACTGAAAACAAATACAAACCAAAAAAATTCAATCCAAAAGAAAAAAGGAACAAAAGACAGATGTAGACAAAGAAAGCTGTGACGATCTCACACTCACACTCAATACTTGTACTAAGTGTAAATGGTTTGACCATTTCAATTAAAAGGCAGAGATTGTCAGATTGGGATAAAAAAACCCAAGATGCACATACATGTTGATCATAAGATGAACCTTACACAGGTTAACAACAGGCTGGAGAAAGCTGTACAACGCAAACAACGAGAGTGGAATGGAAGAGGGGCTCCCTTCAGATCAAAGCCTGGCTGCATGGTTGTATCTGTCAGCGGTACAGTAATGTCATCATGGATTAAGAAGGACATTTTATAAAAGGGTTAATTCACTGAGATGATAACATTAAGATTGCATCTAACAGTAGAGCTCCAAAATGAAACAAAACTAACAGAACAGTGAAAAATGGACAAAAGCACAATCAGAGTTGGAGATTTTAACACTCCTCTGTCAACCTGAAAGCACAAGCAGACAGAGGATTAGTAAGGATACAGGGCTGGGGCTGGGACAGGGCTCAGTGGCAGAGCACTTGCCTAGCAGGTATGAGGCACTGGGTTTGATCCTCAGCACCACGTAAAAATAATCAAAGGCATTCTGTCTATCTACAACTACAATTTGTCTCAAAAAGGATATATAACATGTGAACAATTATCAACCAACTTACCCCAAGTGACATTTTCAAGTTTTCAAGTGCACATAGAAAAATCTAGATAAGATTATATGTTGGTCTATAAAGCAATCCTCTGTAAATTAAAAAGGACTGAACCCACACTGATTATATCCTTTGACCACAGTGGAATTAGAAATGCAGAAAATCTCCCAATATTTTGAAATAAAATAACAGACCCACAAGTAACATTATAAAGGGAACCGTTGACATGGGGTGGTGGGGGTGTCAGCAATCCAGCAGGAACGGGCTGAAGACCACCCAGAGGAATGAGCACGCCAGCCCACAGAGGGCAGAGGGGCTGGGGAGAAACAGCCAGCTGACGGGCACAGAGCAGGGCTCTACAGGGCGGCATCACCCTGCTAACCTCTGCAGCTCCCTGAAAGGGGCCGAGAGCTAGGCAAGGGAGCCCTTCCAGAGTTCAGAAGAGCTCGCTTCATTCACAGGCCCCAGATTAGAGCCACCACCTGGATGAACCCCAGGGAGACCTCAGCAGCCCATCACTGTGAGCCGAGGGGCAATCTTGACTGAGAGCGTGACACAGCTTCATCTGGGAAGAGCGCCCTCTCCCCTTGCTCTCCTTCCCCAGAACACCAGAGCAGCTGGTGTGGGTGAAGGAAGAGGTGGAACTAGGGGTGGGCGAGCAAATCCCTCTTGTGTAAACTGCCAGAGACAGGCAGTGGGAGTCTGAGCACACCCTGAAGGTCAAGTTTTTCAGAACAACAGGATTGGGTCCTATGTGTTGAAACGACAATGACCAGGACAGAAGGTGTCTGCGGTGCTGTAGAAGAATCTGCTACCCGCAGGCTGAGGTTCAGCACAGCACAGCTGGGCACCAGGCACTGGAGGAAAGCAACCTCAATAAGCCGAGAGTCCTCAAACTGGCGCAGAAGCACAGAAGCAAACCAGAAATGGCACAGGCCAAGAAATCTGGAACATGACATTCTGTGTACAGAATAGCTGCAGCCACCGAAATTCAGAAGCCATCGCCAGCAGATGTAGACACTGTAGTAACAAGTGGCAGTTTGAATTTTAACTTACAAGTAGCCAATAAAAACAGGAATGGACGCTGGCAGCCTGGCCTTGGTCCTTTTTTCATGCTACTTACACCTGAGTGGAGAAGCAGCGCTGCCTACAGACCTCGAGGAGCGAGGATTGGGAGCAGGAGGACAGCATCACCCTGCCATGTTCCTGGGGACCAGATGGGGAAGCTTGGGCTTGCGGATGCAGAGGTAGACGCGTGGTTCATTCAAAGCAACCAGAGCGCACCGGTGCCACACAGCAGCGCCAGCACTGCCCAGGAGTCAAGGAGGCACCAGAAATAGATGGATAGCGGCACGTCCAGAAAGCAGCTAGTCATGTTCCTTGAACAGCTCAGTGTCAACTGTACAGAGGCACCCAAGACGGCCTCGGCCTGGTGACCTACCTCCAAGCTTTGTATCGACCTGCTGGGCGAGGGGTGCACACCTGCAATAGTCCAGCAGCCTGGAGGCTGAGGCAAGATGGTCACAAGTTTAACACCAGCCTCAACAACTTAGTGAGACCCAACCTCAACAATAAACAAACAAATAAATAAATAGAGGGCTAGAGATGCAGCTCAATGGTAAAGCACCCTTGGGTTCAATCCCCGGTATAGGCCAAGACAAAAACCCCAAACCCATCAAGTCCTGAATTAACTTCCGTAACAATCAAATTGCTGCATACCACCCAACATTGATTCAACAAATACCCGAGGGCCTTCCGCCTGCCAGACCCCGCCCTGCGTGCTGAGGACACTGCAGTGAATGAGGACATGAAACCTTCCGCCTCCCCGTCTGCGCAATCTTGAGAAGGATGAGGCCACACACATGAGCATCTTGCAGAGCAAACCCCCCCCCCCCCCCCGTCTCTGCTGGCGGCCAGTGTGTGGCGTCCCTCCTGCTAACATGGCACACCTCCCCACCTCCCTACGGCCAAGTTTCTGAAGCTGCTGACCCCAGTTTGTTTGGTTGCTTCCTGCCCTTGACTTATTCATCGAGTCACAAGAGTGGGATTCCAGACCACACTGCTCTGGAGACAAGGTCTTCATCCTGCTAAGGCCTCTTGAGTCTTCCCTGGGTGTCACTGGGAGTAGCTGTGAGTCAGGGTGCTGAGTTCAGTGGGTCTCAGAAGATACAGCATGCTCCAGGTCATCAGAGTCCCCATCCATTGAGTGGGGACGGCTAGGACATGGTAGGGCAGAAACAAGGGCCACCTTGCCATGAAGCCAGCTGCCATCTGCCATGTGGTCAGGCGTCCAGAAGAGAATGGCATGGGCAGAGCCTCAGAGTGGCTGGATGGGGATGGACCACACAGGAGCAGAGGACAGACGTGTCAGTCTTTCCTGTGAC